ACACACACACACACACACACACACACACACACATTTCCAGAAAGCCTGAGGGATACATATATTTAAAATAGGATATTTGAGATCCAAGCTAAGAAGGGAGAGAAGGCTTATTTCATTTCATTTCATTTCATTTCATTTCATTTCATTTCATTTTTCGAGACAGGGTCTCACTATCTAGTCCAGGCTAGCCTTGCATTCACTATGTAGAGGAAGCTGGCCTCAAACTTGCAATGATCCTCCTGCCTCAGCCTCTCAAGTGCTGGGATTAGAGGCATGCACCACCATCCCCAGCCAAGATAAGGCATCTTTTAAAGGTAAAAATTCTTAGGATGGCAAAGTGATTTTCCAGAAAGGGTCCATTCCTTACCTTGCATTAGCAAGTCCCTGATGCCTCTCACATCCTTTTGGAAGAGCCCAGGCAGCTGTTCCACTTGGCATGTGTTATCTCTGAGATCTGAGGTGGGGTGGGGAGGAGAATTTGAATTTACTGGGTACTTATTAGAATTCTGGGCACAGGAGGGTGATACAAAAGAATAAAGTTCCTGCTCATAAAACTTGCAACTGGGGAAATCAAATACTCCCTAAAAAAGACTTTGAAACATAGACTAGTAGGAGTTAACCTATTATCAAGAAAATTGAGTACCAATCTATTACTATTAGGAGAAAGAAAAGTGAAATAGAGTTAAGTAAAGTTACTAAGTTAATGAAAGACTAACCAACACCCCCCCCAAATGCTTATTTTCTCTTCTCCTGCCTGTTCTATCTGCCTGCTGCATTACAGAGAACTTTGGAAAGTTTATTAATTATTGCCTTGGATGTAGTATCTCTGCATCCATAGATTTCACGGAGTCATAGGTCATAGTTACTTTTACTTTTTGGCACATGACTCAAAGAGCATAGACCTTTTCTTAATTTGTTAAATTGGTTACTGCTGTGTCTTAGGATATTTTACCTTGTCTTTTTTTTTTATTTTAAAGATAAAAGGAGGGAAACATTAACAGACATACAACATTTTACAACATATCACAAGCACAATACAGACAATACCGAGTTACAAACAAAGTGGTAGGGAATTAACAATGGTGGTTGTATTACATATTGATATCTTCAAAGTTTTGCCTTAAGTCTTATTAACTAACTGTAAAAATGAAATATTTAGAAACTGAAAAATCACATTTTACTTTTTTTTTTTTTTTTTGGATTTTTTTCCGGTACTGGGAATCGAACTCATGACATCGCGCTTGCCAGGCAAGCGCTGTGGCACTGAACTAAATCCCCAGCCCCAAAAATCACATTTTAAATAAACAGTTACCAGAGAGTAGTAAAGTAGTGGCTGCACCTCATATCACTTTTTCCCTCAGCTCTCCCTCCCCACCCAAGAGTATCCTCATTTAACTATTTGGAAGTGCCACCTTATAAACAAAGGCAACATTTTATGAGAGCTTGTGAATTTGGGAATCTTAGATGAAGACACTACCCAAATCTTGGCAATACCTTCTTGTAAAGAAAACTGTCTGACAGTGAAAGGATTTTTAATGCTATTTATATAATTAGAAGAATGCATCATAATCTGTCCCTCTGAGTTGAGTACATTAGAGACCTGCTTAGAGGCAAGATACATGGAGTAACTTCTGGAAAGTATTGCTGTTAGATACTGGCTATACCCCTACCTGGTGCAAAAGACCCCAAATATTTTTTAGGCCTCTCTTTGGATTTTCCATGATATTGGGCTAGAGAGGTACTTACCTTTCTTGTTGGAATCATAGGATGCAATGATGAGACTGAAGACTAAGATGGTGTCCATGTTAGCTTGAATGCATGAATTTAAACACTCATTGCAAAAACGGTTCACTGTTAATCTGCCATAGCACCCTGGAAGCGTTGTTTCTAGTTGCTTTTACTTGCCCTAGGAACAAGTTTCACCTTGGAAGAGGCTGGTTCCACCCTAATTATTTTTGCTTTATTTCCTGAAGACCCAAGACTAGAGCTGATTGGAGAAACAGCCAAATCTGCTTATTAATGATTGACTTAGAAGGTCTTCCCCTGACTTCGTTGCTGGCACCGGCATAAAGAACTGTAATTACCACTGGTTTCCCTAGCAGAAAGGGTATAAACACCCAGTGATATGCTTTACAAATACTTGTAGTTAGACACGTAGTCGTTTACATGCATGCTCACTGATACAGGCACATAGATGTACTCACCAATGTAAAGAGAAGTGGCGATTTCTATTAAGGAATGTAATTTATAGAATAGAACAGGAACATAGGACTGAATGTGTCAGTGACTTACACTGGAGTAGCAATCAATAGAATTGGGTTCTAGTATGAACCCTGTTGTTAACCATATCATCCTGAGAAAATTACTTGACTTCTGAGGAACTCAATTTTGTATACATTGAAAATCCCCAAAAAATCTCCAGAATTCATTCATAGTTATACACATGAACTCCCATGACCATGGCATGGTGGCACACACCTGTAATTCCAGCCCTTGGGAGGCTGAGGCAGGTGGATCACTGAGAGCCTGAGGGCAGCATGGGCTTCATAGTGAGCTCAAGGCCAGTCTGCACTACATAGTGAAACCATGTCTCAAAAACAAACAAACAAACAAAACCATAAACTCATATGAGCACAGACACAGACATGGAATTCATATTTTCCACTCCTGAGTAGTGAAAGGAGCATGGTTAGAAACATTCCTATGGCTTGGACCAAGAGGTTTTAAATAGGTGAATAATACTGTGTGCAGTTTGGGAAACTTCTCATAGATAATTGCTGCTGAAGACGTTCCTAAAACTGTATCTTTTAGCAAAGAGTGTACATCTGGTGTAATACTTTAATGACTTCTTCATGTAGCTAGGTGGATCATAAAGGAGAAGTGAATCTCTCAGATAATTGTCCAAGTCCAGAGCCTTTGAAGTCTTCCTACCCACCCTAAATATACTCTATTAAAGCCAACATGAGTTTAGCTTTGGGTAGAAGTTTCTGGTAACAGGAACTCTGATGATAGTGATATAAAGGGAGTTCAAGGGATTCCCCATGAGGGCTTCATGAGATTTGAATCAAATCATAATTTAAATACCACCCTGTTTTCCCTACATATTAATACAAATCATACTGAGCATCAGATGTCTTGGTGGGGAAAGGTAAAGTGAAGAGATGTCACTGAAGGATAGGATGTTCGCTGTCTGAAATGTGGACAGAGGAGAATAAGTATTGGGTGTGCAGCCCAGGAGCAAACCTTTATTGGTACTATTCCTTTTCCCTGCTACATTTGCCAGATTCTCTTAGCACAGAAGGTAGTTAGGGCAGAATGAAGGGCTCTAGTGCCTACATGACTTTTTGGGAGGGGTACTAAAGATTGAGTGCAGTGATTCACACATGCTAGGTAAGCACTCTAGGGCTGTGCTACATCCACGTATTTTATTTTATTTTATTTTGGTACCAGGAATCAAACTCAGGACCTTGCACTTGCCAGGCAGGTGCTTGTGCCACTGAGCTGTATCCCCGGCCCTTTTTTATTTAGTGAGACAGGGTCTCACTAAGTTGGCTAGGCTGCTCTTGAAATTGTAGTCGTCTTGCCTCAGCCTCCCAAGCAGCTGAGAATGGAGGAATGTGCCACGAGGGCCCGCTGAGTATTATGATTTTTATTTGCTATTTCCTTAACATGATTATGTATTTTTTTGCTCCCTTCCAGTATTTACACCTTCCCTGCTGTTGTCCTATCTAAAAATGTCTGTAGATTAATTTCTAGATGTCACAATGCGGTGCTGCCACCTTGCAGCAGAGATAGGAGTGTATCTGAGGGTTCACTATTGTCATCCTATGTCACAAGGTGGCAGAAGAACTCACTTTGCCAGGCCTGAAATCCAGACACACACCTGAAATCCCAACACTTAAGAGGCTGAGGCAGGAGGATCATCCTGAGTTTGAGTTTGACTACATAGTGAGTTCAAGACCAGCCTGAACTACACAGTGGGACCCTGTCTCAAAAAAAAACCAAAAAACCAAAAAAACAAAAAAACAAAAAAACCAACCCCGAAAACAACAATAACAAAACAACTCACTTTACTCAAAAAGAAGGTGTATTTGGCCAAAGGTGAAGTCAAAGAATTTTTCTTTTATCATCTCTCAGACTTTATTTTATAACTCAGATGCCCAAAAGTTAGCCTGTGTACTGGAGCAGGCCATGCTGTGGGGTATAGAGAAGCAGGAGAGTTTCAGTTTTCAGTTTACAGGTCAAAATATCTACTGGTAGAGGAATAGACTCAGAACTATTTCCCTACTTCTAGACATTTAGGCTGCTCTTCTAAGTCTTTGATTTATCTGTGAAGAAGAGGCTACCCCTTCTGATCTCCTTTCTCATCCCCCGCTTCCCACAAAACCCATTAAAGTTAGGAGGAATAAAAGCTATAGCATAAGTGAATTTTATTATGTTCAGAGATGTGGGCTCTGTTTTGTTTTGTGGTACCGGTAATTGAACCCAGGGCCTCATGCATGTTAGGTATGCATCAGAGGGAGTCTATAGGAGGAGAATCTGACAGAAAGCCAGGAAGCCTACTGAGGTTCTAGATTAGCTTTGGTAACTGAATCACTTTGAGAAAGTCACTTAACTTCTCTGGACAAGCCTTTGTTCCATTTTCTTTAATGATGCAGTTGGAAAAGATGATTTCCAAGGTTTCCTCCAGGTCTAAAATGATCTTACCTCCATACCGTGCTACTCTTTCTTTTAAGAGTGTATTTTGTTTTGTTTGTTTTATTTTCAAAAAAGTTTAAGGTAAAATGTACCGTACATACAGAAGAGTATATAAAACATAATTGTATTTTAAACAGTTGTAATAGTAATGTACTATTGTGAATACCATATAACCATTACCCAAATTAAGAAACTAAACATTGCCAAAATCTTAGAAGCTCTTTATACATCTGTCCCTCTGGTCATACCCTTTTCCTTGTCCCAATTATGACTTCTCCATGCTTTGTAAAAATAGTGAACTATCTATCACTAAAAATATTCTGCTTAATTTGGCTTGCTTTTGAACATTATATAAATTGAATCACACTTACATATTTTATTTTAATACTCTTTGTCCTTTTTTTTTGTTTTGAGACAGGGCCTCCCTGTGTAGTAAGGTTGACCTTGAACTCACTGTGTATCTCAGGCTGGCCCTGAAGTCTCAGTCTTCCTGCCTCAGCCTCCCAAGTGCTGGGCTACTACACCCAGCGTATGGTGGCACATGCTTGTAAATCTTTTTTTTGTCTTTTTGAGACATGGTCCAACTATGCAGTTCAGGCTTGCCTTGAATTCACTTTATAGTATAGCCTAGGCTGGCCTTGACTCATGGCGGTCCTCCTGCCTCAGCCTCCTGAGTGCTAGGATTACAGGTGTGTGCCACCATGCCAGCTGTATACACATTTATGAGATATAGTACAACATTTCAATATATGTACACAATGTATAATTATCAGATCTAGGCAACTGGCGCATATATATATATCTTCAGACATTTATCTTTTCTTTGTGTTGAGACTATTCAAAATCCTTTCTACTAGCTTTTTTTGTGGGGGCGGCTAGAATCTGAGACCTTACACCAGCTAGGCAAGTACTCTGCCACTGAGGTATGTGTCTATTCCTTCCTCCTTACGCATTGTAAAAGTTTATTATGTACAACACCATAAATACACCTTGTTAACTACACCCCAGAAATGCTCTTTTTATATTTTTCCTAGTCATTCACCATCAGGAGTAACTGTTATCCAGATTCTTATTATTGTGAGTTTTGACTATTTTTAAAATAAGGAATATACATTATGTATGCTTGTGTCTGGTTTCCTTTCTTTCTTTGCTTAATCTTACGTTAAATTCATCCGTGCTGCTTCATGTACCAATTGTTTGTTCATTTTTACTGTTTTATAATATTCCATTATATGAAGTGCTATAGTTTATCCATTCTTTTGCTGAGAGGCATTGGTGGTGTTTCCCGTTTGTGGCCATAATATTCTTGGAGCACATTTCAAAGATTCAGTGGGGTATAAATTCAGAAGTTGAAGCTGCTTGTAGGTTATGGAAGATATGTTCTGCTTGACTAATTAATAGCAAACTAGTATTTATTTACTTGGTAGTACTGGGGACTAAACCCAAGGCCTTTGCACTGAGCTACATGTCTAGTCCTTTTAAAATATTTTTTTCTTTTAATTTTTAAAATTTATTTGTTCTTTTGTGGGGCTGAAGTCAAAGACTTCACAATCATCCCCAGCCCTTTTTATTTTTTAAAGAAGATTGTTTGCAAGTTTTATAAAAATTTAAAATTTTTATTAGTGCATGTTTGCAGTTAATAATGATTGCATCCATCATCTGGAGTTTGTACAGGTACATAACACATCTTTGGCTCTTTTTTTTTTTTTTAGATACCGGGAATTGAACTCAGGACCCTGTGCTTGCCAGGCAGGCGCTTGTGCCACTGAGCTATATCCCCAGCCAACACATCTTAATTCTTTTTATTTTCCCTCCCCCTCTTCTCCTTTTTTAGTTTTTATTTTGAGATAGGGTCTTGGTATGTAACTAAGTTGCCCAGGCTGTGCTTTAACTTGTGATTCTCCTGCCTCAGCCATCCAGTGTGCTAAAATTACAAGCATGTGCCACCATGCCCTGCTAGTGGCAAATTATTTTCTAAGAGGTTGAATCACTTATATTTCCATTGGCAGGATATAAAAATCTCGGTTATTGCTGGGCATGGTGTCACATGTCTGTAATCACAGCACTTGGAAAACTGATGCAGGAGGGTCGTTGGGAGTTCGAGACCAGCCTGGGCTACAAAGTGAGCTCAAGCCCAGCCTGATCTGCATAGCAAGACCCTGTCTCAAAGACAAAAAACAAAAACAAAATCCCCAAACCTTG